CGAGTCCCTGTGTCTTTGTGTCCTGAGTCCCTGTGTCTTTGTGTCCCGAGTCCCTGTGTCTTTGTGTCCTTATGTCCCTGTGTCCCGAGTCCTTGTATCCTGTGTCCCTGTGTCCTGAGTCCTTGTGTCCCTGTGTCCCCAGCCCCTGCATATTGAGTCCCAGTAGCTTCAGACCTTAGCGGCTGATTGGGTAAAAAAACATTCTTCTGTTTGGATGGGGGGGGGGGGGGGGGGGGGTTGAAGCCCTTTGACTTCTACCAGTTTTATAACTTCTGGTAACATCTGCAGCCTGGACCTGGAGATGTGTCTCTAGGACGGAGGTGGACAATGTTTTTCTAAACGGCCACATCAAGACGTTGAAAGCAGTGAGCTGCGTACAGAACTGGAAAACAAGTTTTCTTTATGAGAAATAATCTAGAAGTTTTTCAGCCTTTGTCTTGTAGCGTAGTTAGCACGCTTTATAAAACAAGTCTTTTCAAGATCCTTTACACATAAACTGTAAACTGGCTCTTGTGACAATATATTATACACGTTAGCTTAACATGCTATACAGTAGGTTAGCTGAAATATGCAAAACAAACGTATTTTGTGTTTCTAAGTCTTTAAAGTTCAGTCTAGTTCTGGAACCACGACTTAAAAAATGTTTTTAAATGCAAGATGTTTAATTTAAATTTCCTTAACTCTTGTTGATAAATTGCTGTTTTTTTAATCAATCTTTTTATTATTTTTTTTAAACCTAAGGATATTGGGGGCCTGATGAAGATTGTCCAAGGGCCACTTTTGGCCCTCGGGCCTTAAGTTGCCCACGTCTGGTTCTTCACTGACGTTAAGAAGCTGTTTTATCATTTCAAGCAGGTTTTTTTTAATGAATCAGCTTCTTTCAGATTTATGAAAAACTTTTCCAGCAGCTTTTTTTTTTTTTTTAAGTCTCTGTGACTCGAAAAGTCTTAAAACTTCCTTCATAATAAGTAAAACCTGGAAAACCTTCCTGTTGTCTTCTATCAAACATTTTTTAGATGTTTATTTATTAGAGGAGCTTCTGCCATCAGAAGGCCCCGTCATCAGATTTGGAAGCTTCTGTAGAAGAACTTTACAGAACTGGATTCATGGACCAACTTGGAGGTTTTGTCCTGAAACCTGCAGACTTGATGTTTTCTGGTAGTTTTGTGTTCGAGCGGTTTTTGTCGGCAGCAGATCCCTCCAGTCATCTGCAACACTGACGGTGTGTTTCCCCTGAATAAACGGTGGTTTCTGTCAGCAGGACCTGTGCCGACAGAAAACCTGAAGATTCCCTTTGGGCTCTGGGGCGAATGGAAACCTGACTGTGACGTCTGCAGGTTTCACTCTGCACACCTGGCCAGGTGAGAACTTTCTCTCTCTAATTATGAGAGCACCTCAGCGGTGTGAAGCTGCCTGGATGCTGCAGGTTCCTGCCTGCTCTCTGACGTGGAGCCAAACTTCCCAACACGCAGGAACCTTTGGGCCGAGGCAGCAGGAAGATGGGACAGAAACAAACATCTCATGTGAATTAAGGATGATCCTGGCTGCGTGGGGCGGAGGATGATCTCAGGATGATCTGAGGTCTAGTCCAGGTAGGACAGGATGGGGGGTCTGTGGCAGACCTGCGTCCATCACAAGGTGAAGCAGAACTGAAGCTTCCTGGACTCGTCTGCAGTCCGAGCTGAGGAATGGCCGTCTGGATGCCGGGCTGTCATGATGTCCGCCTGGCAGCTGCTGGACGCTGATGAAGAGATGAAGAGGAGGAGCTGAAAGTGAGCTCCGTAGCTAATTACTTAACGAGGGAGCGCTCTGCCAACATGGAGGACAGCTGCAAACGGTCTGAGGGACACGAGGTGGGGCAGAAGACATCATTTGCTCACCGTCTTCATCTGTACCATTTTGTAAAAAGCGGTTCCGACGGGGGGGTCGGACTCCTCCTCCTCTGGGTCACTTCAGTTCACCTTCAGATCGCTCACCTCTCTTCTTATCCTTTAGCTAACATGCAGCCGAATGCCCCCAGCTACTGAGGTGAACCCTGAAACAATGACTTCCATCCAACAGCTCTGGGTGTGATCAGACCCAAAGAACAAGAAGGTGGGAACCTGTCCTGCTCAAGAATAAGAAACAGCCAAAGTTCGGCTCCTAAATCAACTCATTTGTAGAGTTCAACACACCGAAGGACACTTGGAAACAAGCTGATGGAAACAGCTGAACCAACAACAACAAGCGGTTCACAAGAACTTGGAACAAGAAAAACAAATTCAAGTTCTCCCACGAGACTCCACCGACCTCACAGGAGGATTAATATGAATCATACGATTGTAAATCAAGTTAGATCAATAAAGTTTGGCTGCTCGCTTGCCCTGCTCATCAACCTGCACCTGTTTGAGTCAAAGGAGCGTTTAATAAAAGAAACAATTCATCGATCACACTGTGTTCAAAGAACAACAACATTATGGGTTTTAAATATAAAGATAAATCAGTAGGACCACATAGGTCATGTGACCAGAACATTTAGGCTTTAAAGAGACAACAACCAAATCTGCTGAAGGGGAGAGACGTTTTCTGAGATGCTCTTTGATGCAAGATATTCACTATATACACAATAATAACAATAATCAATCTTAATAATAATGTTTACAAATCCTGACAACTGAGCTTTATTCCCAGCTTTATTTGTTGTTTCTTAGAATAAAGGAGATATTTTATTGCAGATGCTGAGCAGCCATTTTGTTCTGCAGATGTTAGTTTATTGAATATAATCTCTGATTTGTCTGCTGGAGGTTTCTTCCTGTTAAAAAATAGTTTTTTCTTTCCACTGTCTCCTTTGTGCTCGCTCAGGATGGGAGACTGGCACCAAGTGGTTTCAACACAATCTGCTGCTTCCTTAGATAGGAAACTTTTACTAATTTTATTTTATAATGTATGTGAATGTTTTTGTACAGTGCCCTGAGACGACTTCTGCTGGGACTTGGAGCTGCATAAATAAACGTAGTTGAATTATAAATTGATGGGCTCAGGTGGGTCCAAGTAAAATATCATCATCATGTCTACAACTGATTCAACTAAAAGTGGACGAAACGGAAACACACTGGACTCTAGATTCTTCTAGGTCTATAGGAGATTTCACGGCTCTCTCAATGACTGCAAAACAAGCCCAAACCATCAAGTCTCCACCCCCATGCTGACAGCATCTATGGTTTGTATAAGATGGTTGTATTCTGGAACCATTGGGACGGTCCTGACTGCAACCTGGTTTAACACTTCAGATTTTAAAGCCATCTGGCTTCTTCTCTCCTAAATCCTTAAAGTTGACTTTTTACACAGCTGAGACATTTCATTTTGTTTTCCTGTGAAACAACATCAAAGATGAGGAGATAGGAAATTTACCACCACTGTGCGTTCTGTTGTCCTCGTCCCATGCCTCCACCATCACTGTGAAGTCTTGCTGAAAGACAGAGAGGAGGGGGCACAGGTTATCACAGGGCTCACTAACACACACACACACACACACACACACACACTGCACATACTGCACACAGAGTGTCAATACGTGATGGTGGGAATCTAGAAGCTGTTCTCAGAGTTGTCACTAATTAGTTGCCGTGTGCTTTGGGCCAGTTATCAACAGTTACCAAGAGTTACCAACAATTACAAACATTTACCAACAGGTACTAAGAGTTACCAACAGTTGCCAACAGTTATCAACAGGTACCAAGAGTTACCAAGAGATATCAAGAGTTACCAAGAGATATCAAGAGTTACCAACAGTTGCCAACAGTTATCAACAGATACCAAGAGTTACCAAGAGATATCAAGAGTTACCAACAGGTAACAGATACCACAATGACCAACAGGTACCAAAAATTACCAACATTTACCAACAGTTATCAACCCTACACTACCTTAGATAAATAATATTACTAATTGAATTTTTATGTATATAAATGTATTTGTTCAGTGCCCTGAGATATAAATAAACTGAACTGAACTGAAGAGTTATCAACACGTACCAACAGTTAACAGATACCACAATGACCAACAGGTACCAACTATTACAAACAATTACTATCCATTAACAAAATTTACCATCACTTACCCACAATTAACAATGGATACCATCAGTTACCAACATTTACTAACAGTTTCCAATGGTTGCCAACAGTTGCCAATGGTTACCAACAGTTAACAACAATTAACAATGGGTACCATCAGTTACCAACAGTTGCCAATGGTTGCCAACAGTTGCCACTGATTACCAACAGGTACCAACATTCATGAACAGATACCATCAGTTACCAATGATTACCAACAGGTACTAACAATTACCAACAGTTACCAACAGGAATCAAC